TTTTTTTTTTTTGGAGTTGTTTACTTTAAACAGAAGGATGCATTTCTGCACCACCAGGATGGAGTTCAAAATTCAAGAGGCTTGACCGTACCCTCAGAGTCCACCCAGCCTATTGAACAAGAGATAGGCAACCTCTCTGCATGCTCTAGCCCAGCTCTACCACCACGTCCTGGATGATTTCACACTGGACATCCTCTAGCAAGGAGGGTGAACATTATGTTATAATCTCCAGAGTAGAGACTGGAGGAGAGAAGAGGAAGACAAAAGAGAAGTGAACAAAAACTAGAAGAGGAAACGGCAGGAAATGAGGTTAAGAAGTTTACAGATAAAACTGAAAGAGAGAAAATGCTCAAAAGACTAACTCCACAGCTGGTGAGAATTTTCCTAGTGTGGTCGTGCTGTAGTCCAGGGCACTTGGAAAAGAGCTGAACAGAAGTGGCATTCCTTTGACCCTAAAAAAAGCCCACAGACAAGAAGCAGTCAGCTGCTCAGCTTTGGTGCTTCACCAACTGCAGAGGCAACCTTCAGTGTAATGCCCAGGTAGTAAGACTGACCTTATCAAAACATTTCAAAGAAAATGATGTTTCCTCTTCTAAGACCAACAACCAAGTTTTCTCGCTAGTACCTCACAAGCTGTTTTTGTGAGAGGTGCTGCTGGGAAAGTGAAGGATCCCAGAGAAGAAAGGCAATAGGTATTTACCGACAAGACTACCCAAATACTAAGCAGAACACTATAGGTTCCTGACAGACAAATGGGATCCCTCCTAAAACAGTGGATTATTAATGTTGGTGCAGACGAACTGGAACCTGATCTGCCAGCACTGTACACTTGGCCAGGCTTGATCAGTTGGACAACCCCAATATGATAAAATACTGGCTCCCGTCAGTGGATGTTTTGATTCACAGGTACATGACACCAGCTGGTGAGCTCTCTGCCACATTCTGGATAAGACCTTGCTCCATGACCCTACTAAAGAGGCTATTGCAGAGACAGTGCGAAGTATCCTGCCCGACAGGAGTGAAGGGGAGCACCAAGTGGGGCACACAAATAACCTGGTGCCAAATATCTGAGTATCTGCCCCTTTCAGATTTCAATATTGCCCCTTTCAGAAGTCAGTATGAACTTTACCAGCTAGAGCTCTGGCTTATTAACTATTTCCCAGTATGTTTTTTTTATTAATCTGTCTTTTTTTCTACAATTTTTGCATGTACTTGCACGCAGGACCAGAACCATGTCATTCAGCTCCCTAGCCCCCCCACAATTCCCACGTTAGCAACCTCCTGTCTTTTCCCCTTTGCGCACAGCGTGGAAGGAGCTGCTCTGCCCCTTTAAACATCCAGTCAAACTGACTGCCAGCCAAAAAGACAACGACTTGTCTTCTGGTAGGATCCAGGGGAATGCCCTATCATTTTTTCCTGCAGCATTTTGGAAGAGGAATAAAGCCCTGGTAGCTGTGGGACTCCACAGATCTCCTGGCTGCCGCCGTCTGTGCTACTTGCCTCCCGGGGGCTGTTCCCCCCCTTACACCTTTCCAGAAAAAGCACAGCTCTACAAACAGCCGCTGCAAAGTCGGGTGAGTGCTGACCCCGGCCAGACAGCGAGGCCGCAGTGGGGCTCCGGAGTCAACAGAAAGATCAAATGAGAGTTTTTTAAGTGATGAGCCCTATTTGTTCTTTCCTCGCTCTTCCAGCCCTTACGGGTTCCCCTGCATTGAGGGCCCTGGGACCTGTCCCTCATCCGATGGCTGAGCCCTGTGTTACAGCCATGGGTTGAGGGATCTTGGGGAAGCTGTGGGACCACCAACCCCATCAGGGTGCTCTTCATCTCCTACGGGAATGGTGTGTTTCAGGGAAGATGAGAAACCTTCCCAGCCGCACAATCACTACAGTCTCTGCTTACAACTCTGCTGGCTCCTTTTTCCCTGTCCTGGTCAAAGCTTGCAGGAGGTGAACCCAGATCTCTATATAAACATGTTCTCCAAGACAATAAGGACTACTGAGCTGTCATGACCTAGATGAGGAAATTAACCACAATCCCCCCTCTCAGGGTACATCCCCTGACTTGCGCCTGTGCTCGCTGGCCACCAGCTTCCCTGGGGAAGGGTGACTCTCATGAGGAGGTCCCCACCAAAACCTAGATAATAATAATCCTGTCCCGCCAGACTGGACATGGACACCCGCACGAGGACCTGCCTCTTTCCCACATTTTAGAAAACACCATCCAATCTGTTCAGGCCATCGTCTGGTGAAATCAAAGTGAATTACAGAATTCCTGGCAGCCTTTCTCTGTCATCCCCCCAAACTGTCGGACAAGGAAGAACAGCACGCATGGTCTCCAAACGGAGGGAGCAGCGCTCGGTCTTCACCAAGACGACCCAGGCACAGTGTGACATGAGAAACACCGTGGGCACAAAAACACAAGCCAAACTGATCCCCAGAACCACAGCCGGGTAACGCCACCGAAGCCCCGCGCTCCCATCCCGCTGCTACACGGCACTTCTATAGGTTTGACGGAGCTGTAGAGCACCCCTGCCAGGCAGGTCACTATTGCCACCGGACGGGGACAGCGAGGCGGGGGGTGGCCAGCGGGGCCAGCCTACCAGGAGGGCAAGCCAGTCCCCGGGACCTCAGGGGTGGGATTCAGCATTCTGCGGGTGGCCAAAGTTTTAGTAAAGCATGGGAGCGGAGGTGCGAGACTTACCCGTGGATAGCGTGGATAGAGTGAGGTTCGTAATGGTATCGTCCTTCCTGGTGGCGCATGTCAATTGGCAAAGGAGCGTGGAAGGCCGGAAAAATGTGCTGCGGCACTGTTGAGGGGAATAGAAGAAGAAGAAAAAAAAAGGGACTTCAAAAACTTTTCCTTTCCTTTTAAAACAATTTCAAAGGCACTAAATCTCCATGAATTTCAGAGCAAGAGCAGTGCAAGACAAGGGGTCTTCATGATATCAGCGCTATCATACACCAGAGAAGTGGAATGAATAAATAATCAAAGTCATGCGGAGAAATCCTACATCTTCGACATAAAAGATCTCCAACAGGGTTTTTGACAAAGACAAGCAGCTAAGCGCTCTTTGAACTTGAGGAGATTATAGGAAGCACCAAGGAAAACTAGACTTGCAACGCAAATCAGACTCAACAGAGCCTGGCGGGATCCAGACCCGCGTCGTCCCTCATGCCTGGAGTGGCAGCAAACACCTTTCCCGAAGGTCTGTACACACAAGTTGGAAATATTTACCTAAAAATGTAACAGCGAGAGCAGCGCTAATGCAGACTGTCTAGGCAGTCAGAAAAGGCTCAAAAGTGCCTACTGCCAGGTTCTGAGAGAGGAGCCCAAATTGCTCTCACTTGTAATCACTTGAGGCCCTATTTTTTATTCATTTGAGAAGCTTGTTTCATCTTTGATGGAAAGATAAAGTGGTCTCAAAAGGCAGAGAACACCTACATTGACTTATTAAATCTACAGGTTTTAATATTTATTATTGACCCCAAAAGTTAACGGTGAGAATATCTGAGTGAGTCGAGCTGATGGAAAATTCATCAGGTTATTTCTCCACGCCACCCCCGACAACGCTGCCTGGCCGCCTGGGCCTTTCCTGCTAAAATTACAGAAGCTAAAGAAATACAATTAGCAAAGCCTCAATAACGATACCGTACAATCACCCTCGGACAGGGCTCATCGCATCCCTAACGATGCCGCTTCCTAGATTTTTACCAGCAATCGGCTTAAAGATGAAAGGCTGGTCCTGCTCTGCCTTTACAAACAGAAGTTCTACATTAAAGATTACTTAATATCGTCACGGGTCTTCCCGTTCCCTCTCTGGTTTCTTGGCCTTTCTGCCTAACTGGCGACTAAAAGCAAAAACAAAACCAACCTCCTAAGTGAGCATTTCAGAACCCAGTCTGCACTCGGTATTTCACTGCGACTTGCCTCTGCGACAGGTAGCATCTCTCTGGAGAGTGGGGAAGCACCATCCAAAACCAAAGTGTCAGAGCTTGGGCCAAGTCTCTCGCTGATGCTAAGCAAACTCCAGCAAACGCCAAACTCTTTTTTTTTTCTTTTTTTTTTTTTTTTTTTTTCCTTCCCTAGAAAAGACTCAAAATTCAGCCTTTGGCATCTGTGACTCCAGCTGCGACAGAGCTACGCCGACTCCCTCCGGCGAGGCTGTGCTCCTTTCGGGTCCGTCGTGCAGAGCCTTGCGTGAAATCCCCGTATACGTCTTTCCCGGCATATCAGCAAGAGGATCTGAGGCTCCTACTCCCATTGCAACCTACGATCCCCGAGCGCGGCGCGGCACGGCGCGGCACGGCACAGGCGCGTCAGCCGGGCTGCCGGGAGAGGCGAGAGACTACACAAAAACAACCCTCCTGCCAACTCTGCTGAAAGGCGTTAAGCTAAGGTAGTCGGGGTGGAAAGTATTTAAGGCTCCGCGGCAGGGCTCGCTCTCCGTGCTCCGGCGCAGGGCTGGCACCGCGCACAACCTGATACACTGGGAGCATTTTTGCAGCTCGCCTAATGTCAGGACACAGTAGGGTAACTGTTAAACGCCTGCCCCCCTCCTTCTGCTCCCCCCTCCCCTCCTCTCCCAAAAGCGGCTCAGGGAGAGAATAAACTTGCATCCTTTAGGATTTGCTTTGGCAGGAGGAAGATTCACCCTTTAACCGTCCCGGGTAGGGATGATCTCTTACATAAGGACACTTGTAAGGAGTCTTCTTCATTTTAAGAGGCAGCCAGTGTTTTTCCAGGTCAGAAATGCAGCAGAGTTCAGCCGTCACACCCCTATCCCCTGCTCACGCAGCACATTACAGCCTTTGGTCTCCCCAAATCGCTGCCAGGGCTGTCAGGCTGTGCTGTCCCCCTCCCTGGGGACACCGCTACAGCCACAACCCACAGCTGCTGTGGGGGCCAGAGGGAGCGGGCCAGGGAGGTTTTACATCATCACACACCAAACAGTGTCACAAAATCCACTATTCCTGCAGAGACGTCTGATGCCGGACAACACAAACATCTCCCCCAACCTCAGCCCCTAGGCTGGGCTTCCTGCAGTGCTCACCCCGAAAATGAACCCAGCTCTTCCGCGGTCCTGGGGCCAACCTGCACAGCCCAGCTGGCATCCCTATAGGTGATGTCTTGCGCCCTCCCAACACAGGGTGGCCGCTCAGCCTGTAACAGGCAGCCCATAACCCAGGGGTGGGTGAAGCCCCAAACTTCAGGAAAATGCAAGTTGACTTGGGCTGAAATTGTGCTCTGCATTGTGGTAATGATAGAGAGTCATATCCTGATCCTTGGGCCCGTTCCCTGGACCAGTTTAATTCACTAATAATAATAATGAAACCACTAAGAACAACAAGTCAATCTGAACCTCTTAAAACCCAGGCCAGTTATTTTTTGTTTTGTAACTGTGCTTTTCTAAATGATTGATTGCTGAGGTAATATTGGAAATTTTGTGCTAAAAGAGTCTTTCCCTGTCACTCAGGAGAGCCGGGGAAAAGCAAACACGGGGTGTTTGCTGCCTGGCCTCCTTTCCTAGCTATCTGCTGGTATAAAAATGACATCTGAAGAGAGTTTCTCCCTCCTCACACCTCTGATTATTAATGGGAGAAAAATTTCCATGAACTTCCTCCCTCCCACTGGCACCGCTGGTTTGTTTTTAGCTTTTCATCCTATTTGGATGACGAGAGAGCCAGCAGTGCCCCTGCCTTGGGCGCCTGTTTTACTCTGCCATTCTTATTTCCAAACCCACCACATGCTCTGGGCTTTGCTGCCGCCAAGGGCAAGGGGAAGGGTTGGTTTTGGTGACGTCCTTTTGCAACGTCCCACTCTAGGGCTTCCCCTCTGCTCCCCTGCCTGGGAGCACCAGCGCCAAGCCTACGGGTTCCAGTGGCTGGGGCTGTTCCTTTTTATTCTCTTCCAGGTGCTTGGTCAGAAATAATGAATGGTTTTATAGGCAATCAACTACCAATTCATAAACGTCAGCCTGGCTCTGCTTCTTGTTCCCACCCCTCCCAAAGAGGATGGCGAGCTGGCAGCAGGACAGCAACACATGCCGTTAACAAAGATGGATGTTTTACACATACGAGTTAAAAAGACAATTATATTCAATTACTTCAAGTAAGTCACGGTGATGTATTCCTGAATAGCCACGGGAAGGGCAATATGATGATTAGGGCAATGAATTTGCCAACTTTAATCTAATCAAGGCAATCTTTTGTTTAACATTATCTGCTTTGCGGTGGCAGAGGATTTACCAAACCCAAGCAATCTTTGCAGATTTAACCCCAAACCTGCCCAATTAGCACTAATGATGATTGTTTTACACAGAGGGAGGAAGATTTTAGTAGGAGGCCTGGGGAAAACTTTCCCTCGGGAAAAAGTTGGGCCACACCAGGCCGTGTGGTACAATATGCCAAGGCAGGAAGGTGAACCATTGCACCCCCAAAAGTCCCCCAGCACTGGGACAACAGGTAAACATTTTCTCTGGCTCCCTCGGAAGGAAGAGAAAACCAAAGTACTAATCAAAACAGCACCCAGGGGGCAGGGACAATGGGAAAACAGGGTGTTCCATGCAGAAATAACACGGCTCTAAGTTAAGCCCGTGGCACGCAGCTCCCGGGGTGAAGCACGGCAGCGGAGCAGAAAGATGCATTTGGGAGGCCCCACCTTCCACCCAGCCGCTGCTCGTGCAGGAATGTGTCTGCTCCGCCGCGCCGTTTGATAAGGGGAAAGACGCTGCTACCTGTCCCCACTTGTCGGAGCTGATTTTCTGGCCAAGGTTTATGAGCAAGACACGGACCTCCCACTGCTATATTCTCATCCTTGTCTATTCAACCAACCTCTGGCTTCAAAGAGAAAAGATATGAAGAAGAAACGCGGGTTTAAAGGGGATGTCCCTTTGCCGAAAATCCCAGGAATCAGGGAGGGAGGCATCAGAAACAGGCATTTTTTGAGGATGATGCAGGCTTTTGATTATCTCCACAGATAAACCTGTGCTTCAAGAGAAACACACACTGCATTTATGGGTCTGTATAGCGAGCAAAGGAGCCGTTTTGACATCACTCACAGCAGCACCTCTTTTGGAGCCCAAAAAGGAGAATTAGGAAGGGTCAAATAAGCTTTTTTGTATTCCAAGTGCTTCGGCTTACACATGTGATCGCTTTAAGTTAAAAAAAAAAAAAAAAAAAAAAGAGGCCAGCCAACCCTCTGGCTTCAAAGAGAAAAGATATGAAGAAGAAACGCGGGTTTAAAGGGGATGTCCCTTTGCCGAAAATCCCAGGAATCAGGGAGGGAGGCATCAGAAACAGGCATTTTTTGAGGATGATGCAGGCTTTTGATTATCTCCACAGATAAACCTGTGCTTCAAGAGAAACACACACTGCATTTATGGGTCTGTATAGCGAGCAAAGGAGCCGTTTTGACATCACTCACAGCAGCACCTCTTTTGGAGCCCAAAAAGGAGAATTAGGAAGGGTCAAATAAGCTTTTTTGTATTCCAAGTGCTTCGGCTTACACATGTGATCGCTTTAAGTTAAAAAAAAAAAAAAAAAACCTTGCGGAAGTTAACCTTTAAAGAAAAATTATAAAACTTGAGGGGTTTGGGGAAAAAATGTAGCTCATAAATTAAAAAAAAAAAAAAAAAAAAAAGGCAGCAGAAGAAAAGAAATCAGACCCCAAGCCGCCGAATTGGGTTTCGTTTGCAGTTCACTGACAAAAATAATTCAGAAGGACCTTCAGAGAGGACTAAAAGTACACATCTTCTGTTCCCACTTGCAACTGGGATGCCACAGCAAGATGGGCCAGGGAGACACCCTG